TTTGATTTCATAACTAAAAACAACTCCAGGGAACCCTGAGCACAGAGTCTTGCTCAACCCACACCATAATTGGACTGGCTGATTGAACTAGCTGTTTTGCTAAAATTGTGTTCTGATTAAATTGTAAGACCTTTTCTCCAAATGGCAAAGCTCTCCTCCCTGTAATTCCTGAGAGATCCATCTGAGAATTACAATCTAAAGAAGAGAGTGCACGGTGTCAGGCAGCCTCTGTTGTTCCCCTCAGCAAGTTATAAATAAATATAGAATACTTACAGTGCTCTGTACTAGAGAAAGCCAAGATCAAGGCCAAGTGTTACAGTCCTCCCTGAAAATAATTGCAGCATGCAATATAATCCCACATGCTCTAGCAATATGTAGTCTAAATAGAAGTGAACAGCATAGAACTGGATTGTGGGCGGTGGAGTTGTACCAGACCTTGGGAATTTTATGTTAATTAAAAAATGCTGATTAATACAGAATGGTGAGTTTTAATAAGCCAGTAATAAAAGAGAAATTGTGTTTAAATAACAGGTGTGTCTTGATTCCTTGAAACAAATCTTCTGATTTTTAATTGGGGGAATTCACCTAGTAGAAAATTTTGGCTTAAGAGAGCAGTTTTCTGTTGGTGTTTCATTCCCCATGCCAGAGGTCTGCCTGGGTAACTGAGCCATTGGGAAAGAAGGCTTAGAAGCAGAAGAAGTTAATGGTCTTGACACCAAAATTATGGGGTGAAGTTGTGTCACACTAGAGGAGAGAACAGAGGATCACAAGACTTCTGGGGTTAAAGTGTTGAAGACCCAGCAGCACAAAATAGCTCAGCTTAAATTCCTGTAAGTGCTCAGAAGGCAAATTACAGGTTTGCTGAGAAATATTCTAATGAAGGTGCTGGGATTGTTGTGCCCAGCAAGATCCATCCTCTTTGTCACTTCAGGGTACAAATGATTCTTCCCCCTTCTAGTGGCACAAGTAAACATTCCTTGAGTACAAAGTGAAGGAGGGCCCTGGATCTTTTCCATTTCTGAGCACACACGGTAACAGGAACATCCCAAGGTTTGATGCAGATTTCCTTGTACAAATATCCCCAAAGGAGGGAGAGGTGACTCTGAGAAATTTGTCCATTACTATCAAATCATCACATCATTCTCTGCACCCTGGTGCAGATCTATAATGCTTTATAGATTATATGAAGGAGCTTTGTCCAATAGAGGGACATTACTGTAAGCACGAAAAGGGAATCTAGACAGGTTTGGTATATCCAACCTCAACCAATGATGGCATAAGAAATCCACTGCAGCAAAAGAAAAATGAAAAGCAAGGTCTAGTTATAAGCAATGGAATTTCAGAAGTTAATGCTCAAAACTTCCAGCTGAGGAATACACACATCCCTGACATGCAGCATAACTGTTTACAATATCAATAGATAAATCTGTGCCCTAACTCTGCCTCCTACCACCTGGGTAACTTTCTGCAGTGATTGGGAAGTGCAGAATGCAACAATTCACTGCCACACCACCTTGCCTGGCACAGGAGGACAGTGCTCCCTCCAAGACAGAAAAATCTCTGGGTCTGGACATGGAGCTCTGGCTAAATGAAGCTGAGTCTGCCATGTGCCTTTAATTTCCTTGCCTTGATGAAAGCCTTAATGTCCCCACTTAGGCAAGGAGAATGTGAGTTAGGGCTTTATCAGGACTAACTGGCAGCAGGCAGAGCTGAGGGCAGATCTCCATTAAGTGCTCTAAGCCACTGGAATTAAACTGTGGCACTGCAGTCTGGGATGTAGTGGTCCACATGCAAGTTTTCATTTCAGAGCACCTCAAACTCAGCCTCTTCTAAAACCTAACCTTTTCCCTCCAGCTCTCCTCTTCATGCCCAGGAAACCTGGGCCCTGCCAAAGCACAAACCCAACTTGTATTCACCAGACAGCTGGTGGCACACAGAACCCAATCCTGATTAATTGATCACTGTGGGTTAGCTTGTGTCCAGCTGGCCCACCCTCCTGTGTTACATGAGCATGCTGCAAACTATGAAGTGATCACAGGAAGACACATTCCTCTCTCTTCTCCCTTCAGCCTCTCTGCTTTTATTCTGTGCCTGTTTCTTTAGATACCCGGTGCAGCCATCCCACCCCACCACAATCTCTGAGTGCTTGCTTCCCATCTGCAGTCAGAATCCCTAAAGTGCCATGAGGAAAGTTTAGTGATAAATAAGATTCAAGCTTTGATTTCTGTCAGGATTAGAGAGAAGTGGTTTTGTTTCCTTGGTTTTATTTTGATTCTTTTGAACTTGTGTAAATATAATTAGTATCACTTCTGTTTTGACAGCACTCTAAGTAGTAGCTCAGATGACCCACCCTGCAATTTAAATTTGAGGAGTTTATTTGATTTTAATATTGATTTATAAAGACAAGGCACAATGACCAAATTAGAAATACTGATAAGTATACTGACCAAATCTTTACATTTTGTCTTAAAAAAGAAAGAAAGGAAAAAATCTCAGGCAGCAAAATTAGGAAAATCACATTGAGAAGTGCCACCTTAAGACTGTACTTCTATTGAAACTCTAACCACTACAAATTTGTTTTCCATTTATCTGAATCAAGACTGGAAATATTTTCCCAATGCACTAGAATTCTGAGTATTTTTTTTTTTCCGTTCTTACAGTTTGCAAAGCAAACAATCCAACTAGATTAATTCTGATACTTTAACAGTCTGTCAAATACAGCAGTTCTGTCACTTACCTTTCAGGCTACTGCATCCATAGGAATCTTTTTTTTTTTTTTTTTTTTTGGGTAGCATTATCTCGCAAAAATACACACGTAAGTTTAGCACAAACCATAAAAATGTGTTGTACACTTCAGCTAATCTAGTATCTTTCATTTCTAAGGAGGATTTGGGTGGAGGCCAAGTTAATTAAAACCAGAATAGAAATGGGTTCTATTCACATGAGTCATATACCTCTGACTCACAATAGAGCCTGTGCAGCTAATGGGTTAATTTGAACTGATAACAGAAAAAAATAAGCTGGAGGTTATGACTGTTGGAGTGAGTGCTGGTTTCAGACAGTAGATCTACAAGGTTTTTATGCCATTGAGAACACAGAACTGCTCTAATGATGTCCTTTCTGTCTATTCGAGTGCTGTAACAAACAGTTCAGAAAGATCTGGAGGTACAGAAGGCTCAGAAACGCAGGACTGACGCCTTCAAAGCTCTATTATTGTAACAACACGCACATGGAAGTGTTTAAGTGACTGTCACAGAGAGGGAAGTCTCAGCCACATGCAAGCAGCTTGTAATGCTGGCAAGAGGCTGATGGCCCTGCAGCACTTCAAGGGGAAGGATTCCTCCCCCAGTCACCTTGGAAATCCACACACTTACTCACCTCTCCACCACTGAAATGTGGAAATCTTCTAAGCTAACAGCCTTCCTATCTCCTCTGGTCCCTGTGCCCCCAGGGACTGGCACCCACCCCAGCCTCACTGGTCCCTTTTTAGCTCTTTGTTTTACACCACAATTTAAAGGCAGAAAGGTCACTGGGTCCCTAATCCACACCGATTGTTCCTATCATGAGATGGAGAAGTTCACAGCTCTTCTCCTCCTGCATTCCTGCAGGATTGTGAGCCTTTCAAGACGAGTACTTCATCACCATTCCTGTATTCAGGGTATCATTACATATCTACCACGTAGTGTCCTGGCAGGGAGGACTGAAAGCAGAAGCACAGCAGGAACTTTGCACTGACACAGAGGCAAGACAGAGGTCAGTCTGTTTTCTCGTCGAAATTATGTTTGGGAATTTTAACACCTTTTGATTGACTGAAATACAGAAGCAGGCCTTACAGGAGGCCCAGAAGACAGGTTCATCCCCCAAATCCTTTTCCACGTTTTCAACAGCTTAATCACCAGCTACACTCCCTCTTCTGCTCTCCTACTGTCCCAGGTAATGTGGAGTTACTCTACACACTGACTACAGCTCAGGCATCAACAGTGCCCCTCCAACAATGGTAAAAACACTGTTTCACCTTCATTTCATACTGCAGGATTCTAAAAAGGAGGAGAAGTAACTCCCATGGCTGCAGAAGGGAATTAAAGCCAGATCTTTTGCTTTCTGTGCGAACAGCAATGAGAAGATTGAGGCAGCCAGACCGTGACCTTTGTGTCCTACTGCAATGTTTGAAGAAGAGCAAGCCTACTTGTTCTTCAGGACAAAACCCACAAATTCAGGACAAAAGATCCAAGTGCCCATGGTGGGGGTTGAGAATGTGGATCCTAAGCAAGCAGAATTGCTTCTATCCAGCCCTGAGTAACAGACTAGGATTGAAGACTGGCATTAAAACTCACCCTGTCTTTAGTGCTCCCTGTTGATTAGGCAGCTCTGCTTGGTGGTTTCAGCTTTACAAACGGACCTAAAGATCAAACACCTGCTTCTGGACTCCAGCCAGTAATTCAGTGGCTATAAATGTCGATCTGGAGCACTTTAGATGCCTATATTTTGGACTGGTTCCAAACTCCTGCATTAAAGGGTCGCAACAAAAACAAGTTTATAAAAAAAATAGATCTCAAAATCTTCCTAAATGCAATTATTTTCTGACACAGACAATATAATTTCAATGTTCTGCTAACATTTTGTTAGATTCAAAATTAACAAAATCGCTCTGCAGAGAATTGCATTTTATCCAGCTGGGATATCCCCACTGAAGTGCTCAGCACCACAAAGTTAAAAGTAAAGGTGTTCTTTGCTACTTTGAGTCAGAGACAGCATTTTCCTGACCTGCTGCTGTTAATCATTTCAAACATATGTTTACATGATTGCTTTTGCCAACCCACGTTCAGCTGTCACCAGCCCCCACAGAATATAATAATAAACACCTTGCACACCCACAAAGGGGTTACTGGAAAAGGGCTGGGTGCATGGAGAGGTCTGGAAGTTTTGAGAACACAAAACACACAGCTCTCCTCATTTTTTGTCAGACAACTCATCCTTCGACCCAACAACAACATGCAGTGTTGATTTTCAGGTGCAGATTTTATTGTGGATCATAACAAAAGGTTTCAGGAAAAGCACAGAAAAAAAAATTCAGCAAGAGTGTGTCTTTGTAATTACAGAGTACATATATTCTGTGAAAGCTACTAACTCTGCAGTTGAAGGCAATGCAGCTTAACTTTAACTAATAATTATTAATTTTGGATACATGTTCATCAAATTTTGAAAATATTCTTTTTTCTCAGTTAGTTTGATACTGAAATTGAGGATCAAATGTTCCAATGACTCTATTATTGTTACAGCAGGCATGGTATTAAATTGTTAGACAGAAAAGAAAATCTCATTCTTGCAGAAACAATGTCAGACAAAATATTTTTAGAATACATTAAATTAGCCCTTGTAAATGTTGAATGACTCAAAACCTCTTTGGAAAAATCCATGGATACTGAGGTATGCCTAATTTTAAAATTTTGGTGGTGCTATGTCAATTTTTCATGTGACAAATCAAAATAAAATATCTTCAGGCAAGCTAATTGTAACTTTTTACAAAGGATTTCTTCAGTCTGTAATTGTACTTTGACTGTGAAGAGAAAGCCCACACTAATTCTTACAATAAAATGACAGAAGCCTACTACAGGTAACAGTGTAAAAATCTTGTAATTGGTCTTCAAGGCACTGTTTTCTCTTTGGATGCTTGGTCATTAATGAAGGTTGTTTTGAGAGGAAAACAAGAATAACAAAAACTAGACCTAAGGCTGGCATCTAGTATATTAAATATCACATACATCTTTATCTAATGAAATAAACTTCTAAAAGCCATTCTGCGTTGCAACACTGTGGCTTGCAGTAAGGTGTTTGCTAAAATAATCTGAAACATGAATTTAAAACCATACTTCCAGAATAAAAAGTACAAAAGAACAAGAATAAAATAAAAAGAACAAAAGCCAACCAAGTACCCCAACCATCATGGTCTGCTTGAATGCAACCATTCCCCAGCACTGCAATGCCCTGTAGGAGAGGCTCTGGTGATTTCCTGCCACTTGTACAATTCACTGCAGTAGATTAGAACCTTATCTAGCCTTATCCTGCTGGTCCACTTGAATTCCTGAGCCATGGAGCTGCAAGGGCTGCTACCCTCTGTAACATGGAGCTACTCCTGACTAGGAAATGTAAAGAACTGCATATTCTGCAGTTTTCAGCACATTTAATAGGGAACTTGGTTCGTCTGGACTCCATCAGAAATACAGAGCGATTCAATTCGTGGCTTTATGAGTGTGTCTTGGGTAAAATTATGCAAAGGTTCCTTTTTACAGGACTTGTTCTTTATGACAAATAACAGCCAGTCAGCTGAGAAAGAAATCTGAAAGGAGCTGACCTCAAGGTATTAGGATTTTAGGTAATTATTTTCACAACACCTTATTGACACACTACGAAAAATCTGTAGTTCCTCTTTAAAAAAAACCCAAACAGAAATTTCTGTGTGGTTGAAAGAGCACACCAGGATCCATCAAGAGGGAAAAGATGCCCATCTCCAGCCACAGAAGAAACCTAAATACCATATTGCTGGATGCACACGAATCAGAAGCCACAGAAAATGATTCTTTTGGGGGTCTCACAATGCCCCAGCAGCAGCAAAGTTCACTGCTTGATTGCTACTCAAGGCAGGCCAAGAATTGGCCACTTTTTGGTGGGCTCAGCTGCCTGTGGGCCTTTGTGTGCCCACACAAAGCACAAGACAGGCACATTGGTCTGGTGGGTGAGATCCCAAAACCACCACGAGATCCTCAGGCAGGGCCTTGGATTTTCCCTACCTGGCTTTAGGATCCAAAGTGCTGAGACAGCAGCCTTGAGACCGCAGGCTCCCTCTGGGACCAGGAGAGGAACTGGCCTCTCCAGGCGGCTGCTCATGTCTCACGTGAGCTAAATCAATCGATTTGGGTCCATTTAATCATTTTAGGTAATTATAAATAAACCTGGGTTTGGCTAAAATTTAAACAACTTCTATCTCTTTATATAGAGTGGGGAGAGTTCTACTCTCAGCACTGTGTCAGGGGCACTGCTGTGTATCAAGAATAAAAGAAACGTAGGTGTGGCAGAATTTGGCCTAGATAACTTTTCTTTTCCCTGGAGGAAAGGGCTGGCCTACACCAACTGCTGAAAAGCAAGCTGTCTACAGTAGTATCCTATATTTCTCTTATATTCTGAATCAAAGCAATAAATATTAGATATAATCTCTATATTAGATTTTGTATTTATCTGATAGCTATTTAAATCTACACTGTCAAAAATATAAGCAGTGACCCACTCCTACATGGCAGCATATACTATTTGTGTGTAAGTGTTAAAACTATCACATGGATCTATATTTACATAGGACACTGTTTTTTATATAGCAGATTTTAATTTACATAAATTCTTACCAGAGGATAGATAATTGTGGAAAGGTTGGCTATTGTTTAAATGCTTCTATGGTTCTGCATAATTGCATTTCAGCATGAGGATTTAATAATTCTGTCTCAGTTTTATAAGGATGGAAATGGAGCCTGACAGATAAATCTCCAATAATGTTATACCAATATAGCACAAGCAATACTTATTTGCAAGCCCAGGCAAAGAAAACTCCTTCAGTGTTCACTTTACCCATATAAATCTCCTCTTTAAAGAATGCACTCCTGAAAACAAAGGCTGTCAAAATCTTTCATCACTGTTGAAATGTAAAAGTGTTGCAGCTGAGCATGGTCTGCATAAAAAACCTCATTTGTTTTTTAGTTAGCTATTACAATTACTACTAGGTGTGCAAAGGAAGAACTTGCATGTTAAACATTAAAATAAGCTGAAATTGCTCCTGATATATACGTGAGAAGTTCTGCCTCAGTTTGCTCAAAAAAATGTTTGGTTAATTTCATTGAGGTCAAAATGTCCAGCTATTTCTCCCTGTAAAGGGGAAATAACTGCTGTTTTCTGTACCTCTAATTTCACAACCTCCATTAAAAACACACAGGTAAGAAAATATTTTAATAAAGATATTTAGTGTGCTTCTCACAATCAGATAATTTCTGAGATGGAAAACACCTAGGTATTGTCCTTTGAATTGAATAGTGACTTTCCCTTTGAAAAGTTCATATTATTTCTCAGGAAAATAATTTTGTAGCCCCCCAACAGAAGTCAGTATCACCTCATCACTAAACATCAGCTGGCGTTTAGCAAAGACAGAAAATAATTGCTGGAGTTCCCTCTATGCTGATGTTGTACTGGAAAGCTCTACATAAAAGAAAAATTAAAACCCCTGGAAAATGGAAAGATGTAGTGCTTTACATCATGAGTAACACCCAGCTGTTTCTGAGTGACCTTGCCAGCTCTGCCTTTCTCCTGGTGACGAGTCAAGCACTGACAGATCACTTTTCCTTTGACCTAAGCCAGCTCTGTGTAATTGGATGGCTGTTAACAAGTCTCCTTCCTGCACTAAGCACTCCCAAGATTTCTGAAGAGTTATCAAGGAATTTCAGCCTGAGGAATTTTTTTCCTGACTGTGTAAACCAGGATCCCAAGAATTTGTGGTTGCAATGGAACACTTTGTTTCAGAAGTGATCCAGGCAGCTTCCACCAGCCTCCTCTGGAAGCATAACTGGTGCTTGGTACAGTCTAAGGGAAGAATCAACTCCCATTTCCCTTTTGTGTCTTTGTTAAAGCTAAAATCAAACAGATAATGGCTCAATTGGTGGAAATTAAATTTTAGAAAAAATCTTTGTAGCCATGTAAAATCACCAAAGAACTTTACACTCTAATAGAATCTTTGCAGATGGAAGTAGTTTTGACCATTTCTAGAAAATGAATCTTAATTTTTGTGTTGAACATTATGCAGCAACATACATTCATCACAAAGTCAACCAAAGGGACAATTCTAAATTCTATTTAGCAATCAATCTAAACTTGCAATCTGATAATCCTGTGGTTAAACTGCCAAAATAAAAACAAGCCATTCTTCTACTTTCTAAAATGAAGTAATAATACAAATATTATAGAAAATATGTATTATACAGGTGTGTCTTCCTGAAAAGTGTTCTTTGCAAAAAAGATGCCTTCCTTCAACAAAAACAAGTGACAAGCTGCAAAGTGTGGTTCTGTGGAATGCTCAATAGCACATATTGAAGCAGAGTATCACATCACAGTAAGTCTGAAGGAATGAGTAGCCACTTCAATTTGTACCCATAAAATTAAAGCCTAATAATAGCACTGGAACTATATATTCAGCAGGTTGTTTCTTCTTCTTAGCTGTCATGTGAACAAGTGTATTTAACTCTTTCTCCCCATGCACATTCCTCACAATTGGAATGGAACTGTCTTATCACGGATAGAAAATACTCTTCCCCTTCCCAGATTAAAAAAAGTTATATGTAAAAAATAATTAAGTACTCAGTAGAGAATATTCCTATGATTGGCCCCAAAGGCTGATTTGAATCAAACTTACTACTTTTTTTTTTCATTGTTGCTTCACCTATTAAAAACAATGTGAAGACAACCAATACATGAATTCTCCCAGAAAATACCCAGATACTTTCCCCCAAACCTTTTTTCTTTATAAGTGACATTAGTTTTAAATCTACTGTGAAAATAGCAGTGCCAGAATAATCAACTAATAACCAAAAATTCTTCAGGTAAATGGTTTTGTTCCTTTTAGGATAGAGATGCAGAGGAATACAAACGGAAGATATGCAAGGTATGATGTTTTCTTTGTTAACACTCCTTTGTAACTCAAATAAATTCTTCACTCCACATTCCTGTATTTGGAAAACAGATTGTACAGTACTCTCAGCGTGGACTTCAAGTCACAATTTACAATATCTAGAAAAAAGACAAGGGAAGACAAATTAGTAACTTCATTAGCTCCGACTGTTTTCCAGAGGAAAAGTCCCATTCTCTACTCCTTTCCCTTGCTCACATAATAACCATGAACATTAGATCACAAGGATAGCAAAAAAAGAGTAGAAATATCAGTAAAACACAATTTTCAAACTGGCAACTCAAAACTTGGTGTTTTAACCACTTCTAGTAAGGCATATAAATAGCTATTGCTGCTGCTGATGAAATGTAGCCAAGCTCAGATGCTCCTGAGTCGAAGTGTGGCCAGGATTACACATACTTATATGACTTCATCTTCAGACAGTTGTGACTGGAAAGTAATGACTTTGAAAAGAAGGCATCAGGCAGTAACCAATGGAACCTTCCTCTTATGTAAAAATTGTAGGACTTGGCACATTCTGGGCTGCAACAACCTTCACTAGGCCTAATTTCAGCAAGATAGCTAGAGGCAAGTTTAATTTTCCAGAGGATCTAAAGAAGCTAGGTATACAAGCGCTCCTTGAACCAACATCTGAAAATTCCTTGAGTTAGCTGACATTCATGGCTGAATCAGTCCTCAGAAACTCAACATCTAAAGTAAAGGATTTATATGAAACAAAAAGCTAATGAATACCTTCTGTTTCAAAGAGCAGTTCTTGAGAAAGTCAATATTATTTCACAAGAAATCTATAAAACAAACTGACAAGTACTACTGCAGCAGTCTACACTAGTGCTTTAGTCAATCTCAAACAGGGATTCAGAACTGCCCTCAGAAAGAGCAGAGTGGAATCAGAATTGTCCTATCTCTTTCTGCTGAATGCGTAGGAACTCAAATTCCTAACTGTGGTTCTTGGAATTGGCCAAAACCTCCAAGTAAGCCCAGTCATCAGAGTTTAGCCATTACATTTATCTACATTAAAGTTTCTCACAGATTGTGTGAAGGGGTCACATTTAAATAATTAATCCAATAAAACCTGTGCATGGTGTCCTAAAGTGGACCAACTAAAGATATTGAATTTACATCCATGGACAAAGGGTGGAAACACTCAAGGCTAGATTTTATTGTGGGTGTGTGCATGGTCATATAACCAGAGGCAGCATTGATTTGTGGCTCTTTATAAATCCGATGAAATGCTTGGTATAAAATGAAGAGGAAATGCCAAAAGCTGCAGGAAGGGTGCATTGCCACCACAACATCCCACTGCAATATGTAATACTGTTTGCATGCAACATTAGAAGTTTCCTCTTTCAGGCCAGCAGCAAGGTGCAGAATTACTTTTTTTCCAAATACAGAACTTCTATTATTAAAGAAGTAACTTTGTTAGGTCTTTGCAAAGACACGACCAAAAAAAAAAAAAAAAAGATACCACCACCACAACAAGATCCCACAGAAGGCCTCAAAGTAAAATAAGCACACTCCCAGAGAAAGATGGGTTATTTCCATTGCTACATGGGTTTGACCAACACATGTAACATTCCACTGGTTTTCTAAAAGAGAAACTTGAGTTTGGCTTTGATGCACCCATTGCAAGGAGTTCTGAAAAAGCTCGAACTGCGAACGAATTCGTTATAGATTCAGCAGATTAATGTTCCAGCCATTTTTAAAGTAAAAGGTCACAGAGAGCTTTTTAAGACCTTTTAGATTATATTGCAAATAACCCAAATAAACTGTTGACCCCATAAAAATCATTGGTTTTCATACTCATTTATTTAACTGCATTATTTTTTTTCCACTAAATATGTTTTTCATATTCTAAAGCACTTTTCAGCATATTTTTTCCTCAAGAACCTCAAAGAAACAGTGCAGGAATTCAAAGAGTATTTAGTGTACACATTTAGGTTAAGATCCTTTTCAATACTCTTGCTCACTGGAAATTTTAAGTATGGGCATTGTGCCCAATGTAACAACACATAAAACAGATGTGTTTTTCCATTCACTTTGGGCAGGAAGTTTCATATTAAGCATTTCAATAATTGCACAAGAAATGTCTTATATATGCTGAAATATCCTTATGGCTTGATTTATACTGGAAAAATTAGCTGTCCCCTAGAGCAATAAATACCTGAAAAATTAAATGCCATAAGAATTTTAAACCATCCATGGGGAGTAAGGGATCACAGATACTCTGTGTTTTACTTGGATCCCTCCATTTCACTGTTTCCCCATTCTCACTTTGACTATTTCAGACATAAAGGCTTGTGACACACCAGTGGTACAGTTAAGCATGACTGTGGATAAGAGTTCAAGCAGTCAAAAGAAGTAAAAAAACCAGGTTAGGTAGGTCCAGATTTAATGCTCAGGCTCAATCCTGAGATACATTATTTTGTGTGTGTGTGTGTCTCTGTGGCTGTTCTAACCTGGAAGTTGGAAGGGATGGAAAAAACCCTGAATGGAACAGAAACTGATTCAGCAACGAGTGCCTGAATCTCCCAAGAGTTCTGACTGTTAGAAGCAACACCCTGACGTGAGCTTATGTCAACTCCTCAGGGAATGACAATCCAATATTGCGGCAGGAAAAGACTGTGAGCACCACAGAATGTAAGCTTGAAATTGGTCTTGAAAAGACACAGCTAGGTTGATTATTGTGGCAGGTAACCAGCAGGAACCCAGATACCATTCCTGGTGGGAAGAGGGGAGGAGAAGCTGCACACCCAGCTCCTGCAGGGTAAGAAGTGGTAACTCCTCACAGGAGGAGCTACAAGAAATACCCATTACCCTAGTGAATAAAGGGCTCTGTCTCCAGCCTGAAAAGCTGGATTTAAACACTGTATGTGTATGAACAAAGAGGAGTGGAATCCCAATGCTCCTAAAGTCAGCAGCAAAACCTTTACCCTCCCTGAAGCACATTCTACTGTCTGTCCCCACCTCTATATCTAATTTAAATATGCATTATTAGGTCCTGCATTCAAAGGCATTCACGGGAACATTTGAAGTTCTTCTTCCACAACATCTCCTTCATTTGTAAAAATCTTATAAATTACTGGAATACTCAAGGTTTAGTGTGAAAATGTGAGATGGAGGAAAATGGAGCAATTGGAGCAATTGAAATCTGCCAGTGACACCAATCACAACTGTGTTCTCCTTCTTTCAGGGAATATTGGAGTATTACTGCATATGTTTGGCCAATGAAGAAAGAAAGCACTGCAACCTTTGAAAAAGTGCATTTAAAATACAGAGTTCCTTGAGCACTACAAAATGTACCTTGCCTTTTGCTGCTGGATTAACTGTACCTTCATTTAGCCACACTGAAACCTTGTAAGATCTGGAGCCAACACAAATTTTTAAGGAGATACAAAAAAGGTAGAATAGGTACCTTCTGGTCTTGGCTTTGGTTTTTCCAATCCACCATCCTGCATTAGCTCAAATGCAAAGGATACATTGACAACCTGGCAATACAACAAACGCAGTCACTCCTGTGAACTCTGTCCCGTGCAAATGGTCAAGACAAGATGTATTTAAAGTTGCAGATCCAGATATTCAGAAGGAAAAAATAGTCAGGGCTCTCTATATCTGGTCTTTGGAATTCAGACAATTCATTGTTTTGCTGTTTCTGGGTGATGGTGGTTGCAGAAAAATAAAGGTAATTGAAAGCTAACATGAACTAACACAACCCTCAATAAAATTACTTACAAGTAAGCACAGCCCACTTCCTACAAGTTCAAAAATTGGAACACGATGGCCCCTGAAGTGCTCTAGTCTTGAACAGACAGATGAATTGCCTGGATAGCTGCAGACACTGATGTAATGTTGGTCTTAAATTGACACATTGTACATATATGCCTTTATGCTTCCAAAACCCATGAAACCTTTCCAATGTTAAATTCTTGGATTTTGGACACACAAAAAAAATCAATTCCGTCATCAGTGCCTGTGTGTAATCCTATATATGTTAATGAACAGTAGGTCTCATACAATGACAGCACCACACTATGGCTGCCAAAATCTGTTAATACTTGCTAACCACCCCATCATTAATATAATTTTCTGGTTTATTCCAGCTAAGTATTAATACTGATTTTTTACAATACTTGGAAATGGTTAGCAGTACGGTCCTTTCTTGATTTCAGCTATTAGCATCAAACTTATGCACAAAAGTTTGTGTTATCCTTCTACAACTAGAACTATTTATATGTTTGTTTTTAACAGAAAAATGAAATCTAGTTACCTTTTGCTCAAAACTATCAGGAGTCAAGAAAAAGCTGTGCAGAGGCACAAAATAGCCTTCCAGGAGACCCATTAGCAGGACTAAGTACACTCCATCTGCAAACTGTGAAAAAAAAACGTTTCTCAGTACATTTTCTGAAAAATAGCTCACTGCTTTTCCTACTGAACAATGGAGTCCTGGAACAGGATTGGCCAGGGAAGTGGATGCCCCACCTCTGGAATTGACCAAGGTTGGATGGGGCTCTGAGCAACCTGGTCTGATGTGTCCCTGCAGGAGGGGTGGAACTGGATGATATTTAAGGTCCCCTCTAACCCAAACCATTCCATGTTTCTGTGGTTTTGTCACAGGTCTCTCACTCCTACCCCAGTGGCATCAGGTCTATAGCAACCCATCAGCTTCCTAAGGCAGGTGATTTTCTTTCAACTGATGGAAATACCACCTCTCATTTCAGGGAATGCTGTTTCAGATAAATGCTTAAGGAGTTTCTAAGTACATTTGAATGTTTCCCCGCAAGGTAAACAGTGCAATGAGCAGAAATAGGGAATGCCCTTTTGAAAGCCTTTACACACAAGTTCCATCTAAATCTTAATTTTACCTTTGAAAAATCTCTATCAGCTGGTAGGTGTGTAAATAAAGCAGAGATTCTTAATAACATGAATCAAGACATAAAATAAAGCCTGACCTGAAGACACCTGGGGTTTTTTGATAGTGCAGATCCCATCCCTCCTGCCTGACCCCCTAATTTTCTTATGATAACTGCTGCAATTGTTCACATGGGGAGGTATTAATACAGCAGGATTAAGCTTTTCTTTTAGCTTCTTTTCAGCCAATTTAGCAGCTGAGAACAAGACCGAAGAGCATGCAGCACATTATTTCTGTGGTGCAATCAAGCCTGCAGCCCAGCTGTACAGCTGCCTGTACACTTGAGCAGCTTTGCTCTCGAGAATCCCTGAATTCCCCCTGAATAGAGGCATTGTGATCCCATGTGGTTGCGTGCTTGGGCAAAGGTAGGCAGGAAACAACTGCTCAGCCTGGCACTGGAGAAAACCAAGTGCACACAATTCATTCCTGACCAAAACAAGCAGGCCCTCCTTACAGCGCTTGGCAGCACCCATTTGGTAATTAATTTTTATGCTAATGGAAGTAAAAAACTGTTTTAGATGCTTAATTGGTGAGGGTCTTCTTTGTAAATATTTAGAAATGAAGGGTTTCCTGCTGAAATAACACCTTAGAGCTCATTCAATAATAATTCAGTGAAATTTCTGTATAAAGCTGAGGGCATAGTGCATAACATGGTGCAATTACCCCTCCCCTTTAAGAATGGCTATCAAATCCTACCTGTGTGTCCAGTTCAGTCACCTCTAAATTCAATTTATTCAGATGCTTGTTCACAAAGGTGATGAGAGTCTGAAATATGAAAACAGTGCAGTGAAGGCCTACTCAGCAGGGCAGCATTTCAACACCAGCAGTATGAACTCCACTCAGAAGAGAATCTACGTGAGTGAAGAGACTCCAACACAATCTCCAAGTTTTGAAATTGAAAAGTGACATTAAAAATTGTTTTTAAATTATTTTTTACAAGAATGAAGAACAGAAATAAAATTAATGTTATTTATATATATATATATAAATACACTGTTAAAACATAGAAAACCCCTAAATTTTTAGCAGACTAGGGAGAAGTGGGTAATTGGACTCCACCCAAATCTGACAGCAGCCAAAATACTCTAGGATCAGACCTCTGGCAGCTGTAAACTGGATATCTCGTTGGCATCAGTACAGTCAATGTACCAGCTGGGTTCTACTCAACACACACTTTGTGAGAACTTTTCTGATGGAAACTTTGAAACTATATGTTGTTCCATGTCCCAAAGTTAAGTTTGTGCTGCTAAACATTAAATAAAAAGTAACATTATAATCATGATTTTGTGTATTTAAGCATAAAGCTTAATTGTATTTAATGTATGCAAAGCATGCCAGTTATACATTATATCCACACACACCACATCCACACCACATCTGATACACGCAAGCATGCACATGAACACATTATGTATTTCAAAAATAAAAAACCTTCCAACCTTTTTCACTACATTGAGCTTGTCTGGGGCATGGTCAAATAAAGTGTCGAATGCATCTCTTTCTGAAAAACATTCAGGGCCATTAATATACTGAGCAGCAGTTGTTCCAGTGCAGAATAAACACTTCCTGAGACACACATTCATTTGAGACAACACAGTCAGCAAAACAGTTCAATATAGTCTCTGTATTCCAAGTACCAAGTAGTTTGCATACTTCTCTCTTGCTGCGAGCTGCTATTGACTTATTCTCTATTGTTCACAAAAAAGCATCATCTTCAGGTGGGATGTGGATCACCTAAAGACCCTGTTTCTCAAAAATGAGTGAAGAACAGCATCTTTATGCATGAGATCTTAAACAGCCAGATAGAGAGAGCCAAGTAACCAAATCATTTTCTGCAGAAGAACACGACTTAATATTAGTCACTATATCTACAGAGGAAGAATTCCCCCAAGGGCCACTGACTGCATTATTAAGCATCTCAAGCAGGTTTATGATTACCCATCTGCAATACAATCCTTTGTACAGATGTTTTTGGCCATTCTCAGATGCAATTTAAGGGCACTACCAGCAGGACCGCCAACCTAAGGTAGCATGACTAGAGTGCTACTGCAGTCACCTTCTGAAGAAAACAGAAAAATATATAAAAAGGCACCAGAGCCTTTTCTGAGCGATTTGTGTTTCAACAGCCACCTGAATAACAGCAAATGACTCAACAAACATTCATATTCCTCAATTTAAGAAAAACTCCAAAAGCTAGAGTAGATCCAAAGGCATTTGTAGAAGGCAGACTTTACACCAAGCCAGACTCAGGGGAGTGTTTTCTACTGGCCAGCTTCAATCCTGGCAGTGACACACATGAGGCACAGGACCTTGCATGGCGTGCAGGCCTGCTGAATAATGACTCAACATCTTTAAAGTATAAGTAGGTAATGGATGTAGAATATCAACATTCACCAGCTGGTTCATGATAAGACACCATTTCACATTATGCTGGAAACTCAGGACCATTAATACCACAGCAGTAATGTTCTGGAGGTTAAACCACAAAGCATATGCAAATTAACAGGTGCTGAAAAGCAATTAAATGTATTTTAAAGATGGTCAGAGTGATTTTAATGGTTTTTTCCCCCTTTTGTTAACTGCCACAACAGCCTGTGGTGCATATTTGGCAGGGCAACTTGAAATCCTTTACTTTCTTGCCAGTTGATCAAAATGACCACTGAAGAACTCATGTACCCTCTGGCTGCCTCAAGAAAAGACACAATAATTAAATGAACTTACCATGCCTTCCTGATAATGCCCTGTGGAAAAAAAAAAAAAAAAAAAAGGAAAAGAACAAAACAGTTACATATAATTCACCTGCAGATATTGTGCTGCAACAAAACTCAGCACACATGGCAAGATCTTGAGCTTGGTGAATAATGGAGTAGAACCACAGAATTAGAAGAATTTTGTGAATAACTTCACCAAGCTAGTCCAGGGTTAGTCTGGAGTCTATCAGTATAATATCTCTTGTCTCCACCAAAGTCTCACAAGAGGCCAGATTTCATATTCCCTACTTTGAACCAAATCAGCACACCTTGCCTGAGTAAAGAAGGCTTTTTCATGTTGATTTTGTGAAAACTTTTCCCTCTGCTTTGAAGATGCATCTACCACACCAACATCAATAGAAATCCAGCCCAAACAAGGTTTGGGCTGGGCTGTTAAGGACTGCAGGATTTTGCTCCAGTTGATCTTTCATTTAACTGTCACACGTAAATCCATACAGATTAATAATAAGTCAGTAGTGCAGCCTCTCTCCATTCAATTAGAGACCTGGATATTCTACTACTGTTCCCTTTTAGTTTGGAATAGCTTTTCTGTTATGAAATGTTCAGTGAGATGGCACATACAAGGCTTACTGCCATCATTTTACACACCTAAAGTCCTGCTTTTAGTTCCCCACCTCTCTATTTCCTCCCCCTTTTGTATTTTTAGATGCTTGTTTGCAGCTCTTGAAAAGGAGAAAATACAGTCACTGGCTGATGCATCATCTTCCCTGGAACCCCAATACTGAAAGCTAAATGTCAGCAAATGTTTGAATTTCTGAGACACATCTGTGTTCAATTACTGAACTGCTGGCGAATGTGGTGTTGACATACTCAGTGTTACCAGTTATTTCCTCTTGGATTTGTCGAGACTGGAGGATTCCTTCTCGTTTCTGGAAAAAGGAAAAAAACGACATTTTTCTCACTAAAGTTTAATGCTTAGGGTACAGTAAAAATTTGTGATCCACAAACATAACTAGATAAGAAACCTGCAAAATAAGAACTTCTCTTACACCAATTTTCAGTAATATATTATTTTACCTTGCAAATATTTCAGAGAACTCTTTTATACATTAGCAAGAAACCTGAAACTCCACCTGTAGAAGGAAGTATTTATTTTCCTTTCTCCATTGTTCTTAATTCACTTTTCTTTTAAAGATCCCAATTCAGCAAGACATTTGAAACACCCAAACACATATGTAAGTATTTTAGTGGAGATAGGTCTAGGTGAGCTGAATTAAGCCCTGTATTTCAATGAACAGCTTGGCAGATGGTGCCCATGCTTCTCTTTTGCAAAAATCTTGCTCCCAGGCTATTTTTTTTTTTTTTTTATTCTCAGTATTTCCTTTCTGTGCAGACAAAGAGCTCTATTGGCTTCTGACAGAAACCAAAATGGAGCTTCCATTCATACTCCCATGCTGGTCCAGCGGTGACTCTGATGTCTGTCAGATGGCAGAAGCCCTTCGTGGCTTTGTCCAGAGGCTGTGCCCAATGTGGCAGAAGCCAACTCCAATCACTGCTGTTTGAGTCAGCTGCAAAATGCAGCACTTGAAGACTTTGACATTGTTTCAGTTTGCTGATCACACTCATCTGGGGCTGCTGTAAATACCACACATATGTTTTGCCTCTCTTTGTGCTCTCTCTGTCAATCCTGTTTGCTGGTATTACCAAAAATTTGCAGTACACAGAGAAAAGTCAGGCAAATGCTGACAACTGCATTTCAAGTCTAGACATCAGGCAATTACTCATAATTCTTCACTCCCTGTCAAACAAGGAAATGAGAAAAATAGATTTATGCTGGTCCTAGACTCATCTTCTATGTGGAAAAGAGAAAAGGAGAATAACCTTTTAGAAAAGTCCTTCATGGCATCTGAATTGGGGCTGCTGCTTTTCCCTTCCTTGGAGAAGTTAGCACATCCCTACCTGAAGCAGTCCTCAGTGTGTGATGGGCTGAGGACTGAGCCAGGCTTGTCTGTTCCTTCCACACTGCATTACTAAAATACATTTCTTGATATATTTTTTCCTTCTACACTGTATTTCTAAAAAATATAAAGAAATATATTTATTTCTGCAACAAATAAGTGGGTCACTCCAGACTGGCACTTGGAGTAATGTGAACTGTCCTTGCAGCAAGATGACAGTTTCAGGGGGTTTCTGTGATATTTTTTAAAGTCCAGTTTCTAAATATCTTGCACATGGTGAAAAATGCATTCAGGGAGGACCTTGGAGCACTCAAAAGACAGAGGGGAGGCCAGGGTGCTCCATTGTGGAAGAGGGGGCACAGACCAGCTGCAGAGGCATTGCCTCTCACACATCTTCAAAGTCTGCAGCACAATGACATAATTTAGGGCTACCTCCACTTGCAGCTTGTGCAGACAGCAGTGAGTGCTGTCTCCAGTCCTAACTGAAGCAACTCCAAGTTCTACCTAGTTCATGCTAGCACAACTTGGAATTCCACTCCGTTTGGTATTTTTGTTTATTTTTCCCTTTGCTGCAGGGTGAAAGGAAACCTTTATTTCCTTCTCATGATGACTCTGACGTGGCATTGATGCCTTATGCAGCAAGAACCCTGCTGCTCCCATCTCCCACAGGGGCTGAGCACCACAGCAATGCCATCTGTATTTTTCAGTGATCACACTGGGAATATGGGAACAGAAAAAGGTTTCTAATGCTCTACACCTTCTCTCTGCAAGCACATAAAAACTGCCTGAAATATACTCCAGCACTGATATTAAAAATATTTCCTTTTTTGTTTATAAACTGCAGCTAATACATTAAAATTAAAAAATCTGCACCTGAATCTTGTTGTTGACAATAACAAAAACAAACAAACAAAAAAAAACCCAAACCAAAATGATCTCAAGCCCTTGTTTTGTGTCTGGCACCTGACCACTAACACTGATGGGATTTCCACACTGCCCAACTACAACATGCATCCCCTGGACACTTATTTGACCAGCACATGTCAAGACAGACTTTCATATACTTTTGATTTGTAAAAAGACTGGTGAATTCCCAGTGGAATGGACCTTAAAACATTGGTCTAAGCACCTTCTCTGAAGGCTTCTTGCTCTTTACAAACTCTTCACTCAAAATTGACCCTAACACTGATGTCACCTATTCTGAGGTTTGTCTTATACTAGACAGAGAATGACACAATACTCCTGAAAACACAGAGAGGTGCTGCTGAGAACTGAAAGACTGTGCAGCATGTTCCATAAAGGCAACAGTCGCTAAAATTGAAACAACAAACCATAAAAATCAACATCAACTATTTGAAAGTCCCTGAGAAAAGAGCTATGAATTAAGAGTCCCCATTAAAAAGAAAAGCTGGACATGCATTCCAGTGATGACAGAAGACCTTAATGAACAGGCTTGGCATTTTCTTCCCTCACAGCTGAAAGACTTCACAGAAGGCCCTGAAGATATTCCTAATCACTTGCCATTTAAAATTGGCAACTCCCTAGAAGAAAAAAAAACCCTGAAACTAGGGTAGCACATCTGGAAATAGAAAAGATCTCATCTTATCTCCTCTTGTGTCAGCATTTTTATGTAACTGAGGGTCAACTACTTAATTTCCCCCCAAAGTCCCAGTCTGAAAATCTTGCCATAATTTGGATGGCTTTTTGCCTATGTCTTGTTACAACTCATTTCACCTGGAGGACCATGTTTTATAATTGCCCCACCAAAGTGAAATGCAGAATTATTCTGGAGCTTGAAAGAACAAACACATTTGTCAGAGGTCCAGAGAAGATTTCATTGGAACCTGTAGGCGGTGGTGCTGCTCCAAACCATTTCAGACCTTCCCAGGTAGTGGTACCAATGATCTCTGATTAAGGTTGTGATTTACACACTCATCTCATCTCAGTAATTTCCCAGCTCTGCCTAAGAGGAGTTTAGGCACCCCAGAACTGCTGTCCCAGAACATGCTGAAGCCATTCTGGCTGCTCTGCCAGTGCATTGTTACACTCTCTGATTTCCATCTCTTGGACACAAACAATCTGTCATCTAACCATTTGTGGATGGTAGAAATACATAATTTTTAAGAAGAGGCAAAATGATGACAAGACCCAGCTCTCCAAAAAAGCTTTCAGTCATTTCAGTAGATATGATCAAACAAAGCCTGGGCTTTGTTCAAAGTTATTTATTCTACTGTTATGGCAGGAAAAGAAAATAATAGAGTAGCTACAAAAGGTCCAACTATCATATTTTTTCCTAAATCAGCTTAAACCCAGATTTCATATCACTCTCATTGCTAACAGCTTTTCTACAAAACAGCCAAAGGAAACAAGCTTTCATAGGAACTAGGGTGATTACCTGTTGGACATGAGCACATTTTTTGTTTCACAAATATGTTTTTTTTCTATTTCAATAAACTACATCCAGCCAACACAACAACCCTCACGTTTTAGGTGTTTCTATGCCTAACAAAATCATGAAATGAATTAAGGGAGTCTTTCTTAAAAGACTTCATAAAAGTACTTTGTTCTTTTACTTCTGTCTCTCCTGTTCTCTTTATCAAACCATGCACAGCAGAATTTTAAAACCACTACTGCATAGTCTGTTAAGCTTCCCTAGGCTTGATCTTTCTTTACAGGATGCAAAGCATCCTGTAAAGAAAGTGTTTAGAATTATTAGAAATGAGGTGTGCAAGTCTGACCACTAAATTAGGCATTATGATCTGCTGATGGTTGATTAAAACTTTTGTGAGTTCAAAGGATACACAATGCATGATACAGAATCACTCCCACAGGATATGAAAGACAGATTAAAAAAAAACAAAAACAAAAACAAAACAAAAAAACTCTCACCCACCATAAAATAAAAATGAGAAATGTCTCAAACAATTACAGTAATTACAATTACAGTAAATATACTGGCCCCCACCCTATGTTAACAGGAATCAGCAGAGCTCTGGAGTTCCACTGACTGGCCTTCACCAAGGTCAGGGTCTGCAGGACAAAATCTCCTTCAACATTACTTGGAATATTATTCTGGTGCAACTGCTTCCACTGCAAACCACTGGCGCCTGAGCTGCAGCTGTGTAACTACGAGTGAGCCAGATTCTCCCACTCCTTATTGTTTTAAATTGGTTTATCTGTACTGACTTCAGTGGATTTGCTGTTGAACTACATTAGCCTGTTTAACAAGACAACAATTATGCCCACTGATTTCAACTGGAATTTGTCTGGAGGTATGGAGTGACAGCCAAGGTTCCAGTTCTTTCTTTAAGGACTGTGTTATTTTTCTCATTTAGTTTTTCATCATAAAGACGCCCTGCTCACTGTACTCCAGATTTCTTAAGCTGCTTGTGGTGGAACTTTTGAGATAAACCAGTATAAATAATACATTTATAATAGCCAAAGGAACTATGTTTCTTTGAAGCCTTAGTCATGTAAGTGCAGACTCCCAGAGATTCTCCTTCATCATCTGTAGAGAAACCCATGAAGCAGAATCTGAGTCAACAAGTCAGTACCAGACATCAGTGACACATTTACCAGAGACTCTCCTTCAGACTTCTCCCTAAGTAACAAAACTTGTCCTATTTGAATTCTAGAAGAGAGAATATTTACTTTCTCAGATCTGCCTTGCAGATTTTCAGTCACACAAAATTTGAGCAATAGCTCTTTCACCCAGTTACTTCAGGGTAACATCAGTTAAAAGACATAAATAAAGACAGTTGCAGTGTGAAAAATAAAGGCAAAGTTAATTGAGAGAAAGAAACGCAGATTAAATGGGAAGAGGACAAATAAGAGAGAGAAAGCACAAGTTCAGCTGAACAAAAAATGATGAACAGAAAAACATGAATTTGAATGGACGAGGCTCTAATAAGGAGACTGACAAAAGATTTAGTTGGGGATTTTTTTGCATGCTTTTGAGAAAACCAACACTGTAATCAGACTAAATTAGCATGCACAGAGCTGAAAAAGAAGTTAGTCACCTAACATAAATGTGAATGTAATAAACAGTGACAATTCATCATTCAGTGCCAAGAATAATTTGAATCTCTACACAAGTAAGAAGAGCATCAAAAAATGGGGAAAATAATAATTCCAGCGATCGTTCTGGGTGATAAACACATTCCAACAATAATAGTTCATATATTTTTACTGTCACAGTCTGGCCACTTCACAGTAAAAGTAAGACATTGTGAGCCACAGCTCAGTCTGGGAAAGTACTGGTGCCTTTTTCTGGTGGAAGCATGGACAGCAGGGAAGATGCACGTGTGCTCCTTGTCAGCTAAAGAGACACGTGCGTGCCTGCCCAGCCAGAAACTCCAGATGCATTTCTCAAGAAACCCCTCAGTCAACTTCCCAGCACTACCAAGAGCTGTTTAAGGCCCCTCTTACCTGCACAACAACCACCTGAATGGACACATGGTCAGGGAGTCGGATTGGTGCTCGAAAATACTGAGACAATGCAACCAGAAGGTGAAGTATCGCTACGAGACTTTTAGCATGAACAGCTGAAATAGACATTAAAAGCACAAGTTACAAACTGCAAAGTAACTAGGGCACAGATTTTTACTTCTGCTTAGGATGTAGGGATTATGGGACTCTTTTCCTCTTGCCACCTGGAGCCAGGGGGCACCTTTAAAGCACCCCATCTGTAAGTGGTCTCCTGCAAGATGTGTCAGCACCAATGCACTACTCTTTGCAATGTCTGAGTGCCACAGGCTCATGGAGATGGAAATCTAAAACTAATCCAAAAGCCAGATTTTATGTACAACAGTTTAAGTGCTGTCTCTGCATTCTCCTTGCCTCTCTTTTATTCCCTTTATTTCAATAAGGATTTATGGACTATCAGAAAGATATTTTTGTACTCATAACATGCACTTATTCATTTTTAAGTGTCACAATGTCTGCAGGATGATAAATGAGCCTGTTTTGGCACAAGCCTTAAGCAATAACTTATTAAACTCAATGACTCAAACATTCCTCATGAAGTTGTTCTAGTTCTGTTATTGAAGTTTTTTTGCAGCAAGTTTCATATATGAGTAGTTAACACTAACACAACTTAAAAGACATCAAAAGCCAAACTGTAGGAAATCCTTGATCAAGTATCAAACCATTGCCATGCATGTGGATAATTTCCAATCCTTATTATTCTCTTTCTTCTTCTTCTATTTTGTTTTTGCATCCCCAAAGTAGTATTCCTAAACGATCTTTGACACTGCTGTGCACTTAGGTTTTTTGTACTTGAACTAATCATGAAGTACTACCTTACTGCACTGCTGAAACATGATCACATTCACTGCAATACCCTTCTTCATAATCTTACAGTGCAAGTCTCAGCTATGCCATGCAGATACACATTCACAGAAAATGTGGAATTGCTGGCAAATGCTGCTGGAGTGCCCGTGGTCAGGGATGAGGTGCTTTAGCAGAACACTACAAAGACGTGTGTCTGCCTACCACCAGTGTGTGCTAAGCCGGACACAGCTGCTGCTCTCTATCTCTACTCCAGCTCTAAAACACATGTAAAACATTAGATTAAAAGTGGGAGTTAAATTGTCAGGCCACTCCAAACACCCCACCTCCAGCTGCATAACAGAGAATGGAAAGAAAACTTGGGGCAGGTTGAAAAAAGAAGGGGACAAAACATTCAGCAATACCACAAAAAGGGGAAAGTCAAATGGCCAAATGTTCACTCTTCCTCCCTTGAGAGATTTCTCTCCTTCTAACTAATTTGTTGTGAATGGAACAGGATACAACACTGCTCAGCACAAGACAGGTACAGGAAACAGGGAAAATGTGATGTACTGGTCAAGGTATTCACCAGCATGAAATGATTCTGAAAACCAAACTGAGAATAAGGGGCCTAATTTTCTAAAACTGATAACCTGCTTTCTGCAATACATATCCACTGAAGTGTCTCGTGTTGGGCCACTGAAGACATTTCTATTAGATACTGCTATGTTCATTCTTAATATGATAGAACAGGAAGGGCGCAGAATTAGTCTTGATTAGAGTTTTGTAACCAAAACTAGTGGTTCAGACTTTGCCCAAAATGATCAGAAATATTATTCATATCTATGTTGTAAATTTCACAGAGAGTTCTAGGACCTAACTGTCCTTATGTCCATCTAGAGCATTTCTGCAGGTTCTTGCCTGTTTCAACAAACCCATTTAGCAATACAAAACTTAAGCTGGCATGAGCCAGCCAAGCCAACCACTTGGACAGACTCTGAGAAGACACCTAACTGAAACTGAAGGCTGAGCACCAGTAAAGAGGACAGAGTGGCACATCTGGAAGTGCCTCTCAGAGCCGTTCCTACCATAAATCCCAGGTTTCAGCCCTCCCTTACCACTGGATATTTCAGAACCCCAGATGGCACCTATGACCACCCAGCTGTCAACAAATGAGAACAGTATAGCAAACACAAAACTTACAGTCAACATTCCACTTAATGCTTCTTGGAGGGAGTTTAAGGGTTTCATTGATCTTTTCAAGCACTGTCTGTAGCTTCTGTTTCTGAGCAATTTCAGACTGAGTAACTTCTGCAACATTGAGCTTCTCACTTTCAAGCTTCTCTGAAGTGATAGAAGAAAGAATGGAGGAAAAAAAATTGTCAGCTCCATGAAGAACACAAAGACATTCCATACACCCAGAGGTACATTCAGAAGACATCAGACTTCCTAATTTTGTATCTAAGTTTCTTTCAGAGCCACTTTCCCTCCACACTTCTGAGCTCCTAAAGATAAATTCACATTTTGCCTTTAGTTACACACTGACAAGGAGAAGGCCAAGTATAGCTCTACGCCACACCACTGGCTAACAAACATTTGCTGCAACTCCCTTTAGGGAGCACCAGACTTGGAGATGAGGCCCATTACTTCTGTTGCTTCTTTTTGAAGGTTATTCTGCCTGCAAGTGGCTTGTACAGCAGACCATGAAACTTAGGAAACAGACACCAACTTTATTTCATCAGTCTCAGCTTCTACCTCAGATACAGGAGATAAAAATTTAACTTGGCCTGGTAGTGATAAAATGAAGTGATTCCCTATTCATAGAGCAGAGGATGCATCAAAGAAATGCAAACAAGTTTTCATGAAAACAACTAAAACCTCAGGCAATTTCTCTCCATGAAACCAAGCCATTTTCTGCACTAAAAATCTGCAGTAGATTTTAAAATACTTAATGAATTGGTTTGTTACAATTAGTACAGTTGCTATGTATATACATATATGGTTTATTGTTTACCCTTAAAGAGTAAGCAAAGAAAATACAGCAGCTCCCTGCTGACAACACCAGAAACAAAATGCTTGGTCACTTATCAATCTACTTTGACAAAAGAGTGTCTTGTTAAGATTTATCTTATTTGGTAAGAGCTGATCTTGTTCCCATCAAAGCCAGCTGAGTATCTTCCCAAAGCGAGTGAGCCTAAACCACCAGCCTAAGAGACTGCTAACCCTTAATCCTGCCTAAGAGACTGCTATTTCCAAATCCTGCCTAAGAGACTGTTATCTCCCAAACCTGCCTAAGAGCTGCTATCTCCATAGATTTCTTGCACCTCCTCAGAAATCAGTTTGTGCATAGCCTCACCACAAGACTGAAGATGTAGTAAGCAGAGACCTGATCCACAAGGAATTAAGAATAATGGAAAAGATTCTTCTGAAATCAGTAAGTGCTAGATCAGTGTATGCATATTTAGAGTCAGGCTGCACCTGATACACATTTTTGAATTTTGGGTGAAATCACTGGAGGTCTGCCCATGACAATCCAATTGCTCAGTCTGGGCATATCCAGTCCATCACAATATATTCAACAGCTTAACCATTCATAGAAGGGAATAGTCTGTGAAGTCTTTATTAGAAGTGCTCACATGATGTTTCAAGATTCATTTAGGATACTGGAAAAAAATTTACTGGAGATTTTATGAGCTGTAATAACTACAAAAATGGCTTTCAAGCCAACAGTGTAAAAAGCACGTGCCAACTCTGCATTAGCAGTTTCTTTTCTCTATCTGTTTCTCAGCTGAAGCTCAGATTACAGTCCACTGGGCACCATTACCTCAGTCATGTTAAAAGCCAGACATCAAACCAGAAAGAAATTCTAACTTTCCAGAGGAACCTTGTGATGAAGAAACTATAGCATGGAACGAGCAGAGATTAAAAACATCCACCATGGTACTGAGACTGCCCTTGCCTTCAAACTTACTTTCCACTTGTAACATGGTGAAGTTTGTGCAGCCCATATACAGGTAATAAATTTAATTGGAGCGAACAGTGTTGCCAAGACAAGAGTCCTCCCTCTGCAGCACCCCAGGTAGGCTTTGTGCTGTTCTCATCAGCTGCAGAGCACCACACGTTGCACTGCAGCCAGGAGGGCTGTGCATACAGCCCGTTGCTCAGGGGTCTCATAACACAATGCTATTTTTGTATCACTTAGTGGCATAAATGTAAGATGATACCAAGGCTCCTGGGCAGGAACAAGAGATCCACTTCTTGACAAAGTGCCTCAACACTGTGCACGTGTATTTTTTCTTACCAAATAATTTCTGCAACACTTGTCCATCATACAGGTCTTCAGCCAAGTCTTTCACAATAATCCTCTCTCCTACCAACACATCATTAATCCAGTCAATTAATACCTATGTGGGAAACACAAATTTGGCAGTATTATACACTATTCATTTGCAATTTAAACCACATGTCATTTTTCTTAGCAGAAAGAATACCAAAGCTGCAGTGGCTCAAAATACAGTCTGACATACCTTCAGGAGCAAACAGGAAATACTCAGGAAGGACTCACTTGAGGTGGCTGTGCCAATGCACCACAAGGTCTACATAAACACTAATTGATGCAGTATTTTCTGGAGTGAAATCTTTCCCTTGCTTTCAGTAGCATTTCAACATCTTATTGTGAAGCAAAAGGTGCTGAAGTTGATTTTAATGAAGCATCCTGCTAAAGTTCTAACTCCAAGAATCACAAAGACAAGGCAAGATCAGCGTGATCTTCGACTGGGGGTGGGACGGGACTGAGAGTCTGGACTCAGGATTTTAATAGAAGTTTCTAAGTCTCCCTGTGTCACATCTAGAGAAAGATACTGCCACAAATGACCTCCCCATTTCACTGGGATGTACGCACCACGTGGTTCCAACTAATTAATATCTAACTAGCGCTTCTAAGTATTCAAGTGAAAGAGGCAGGCATGGCATTAAAAAATAGTTCCACTTTCCTGACAGGGTTTACATGCTTTCATTACCTTCATTAGTTCTTGCAATTTTGGATCATTTCTTGAATTTGGATCCACCATTGTTCGGACTTCATTTTCCTCTGGAAGGTTTAAAAGAAAAACATTAGAAACTTTTCCAGGCACAACACTTCATTTTACATCAAGATTTCATGTTGAGATGTAAAATTTTTGTGAATTACCTAGCATAGTGTCCTCGGGGTCTAGTTCAAATGGAATGGGACTGAGAGGTAAGTTAATGGCATTTATTCCTTCTTCCTGTAATTCAGACACTAGGAAATAAAAAAAGAAAAGCTTGGTCAAAATTCAATTTAATTTTACTTACCATTTCACTCTCACTAAAAGTAGCATTAATTGTCTTAATTTCTTTATAAGAACATGACCCTATTAGATAAGCCACTGCACGTAATTACAGCAATAAAGTAAAGCTAACAAAAATGGGAGGCCCAGCCAACAAACCTTTACTTGTATGAATACATTTTTCGTGGATAATGGTGCTGGAACCAACACAATTACCTCAAATCTTTTCCAGGACATGGCCCATTGTCCTCAAATTTTTAAAAGGCTCACTTGCATGTTAATGGTCCTGACATTTTAACACTAATGAATCATTTCAGCCGAGGGAGATGGTTATTGCTCTCAGTACACCACTGTGGCTCTGGAGATGCTTCAAGTTTAGCTCCTTGGGAAGAGCAGGTGTGGCTGTGACCCACCCAGGAGTCACCAGGCGGAGGAACTGCTCTGGACTGAAGGTGCAGCTGCAGCACTTTCTGCTGTCCAGGATGCTGATGGGTCTGCCACTGCCCAGCTGGAGCAGGCTGCAGGATGCTTCTGGCCTGTGTTCCTGGCCTTTCCTCAGCAGAAATCACAGCAGCAAGACACAGTGGAGGATGATGAACCCTCAGAAGGCTTCCCTTAGTGGGGAGTCAAGGTTGAAAAAGAACTTCGCATAGGAATGGGGAATTGATCCGACACCCCACAGTTTGGAGATGTTCTCAGGAAATATGGACAAGGTCTTACTCAGCCATAGTCCCCAGATTCTGCAAAAATCAATGTTCTTGAGAAGAAAAGACCAGAAAGATTCAGAGAAGTGGTGTAAAGGGAAGCCTGTCACTTGTTCTGTACCCAGTACAGGCCAGAGCAACTGTGTTCATTCCTCTGGGTGACCAATAGGTTGCAAAGACAAAACCCCCCCTTCACTGCCCAAACATGCCTCCCTAACAGAGGGCAAGAAATACCAACAGGCCAACACACCATCCAGTGCTGTGCAAGGACTCCCTCCTGAGCAGGGAGGGAACCGGAGCAGGATCACACGAGTTTGGACCTTGCTTTGTGAACAAGAAGTCAGTGCAAAGCTGATTTACCAAACCAGGAAAGGGGCTCACTGTCTTATCCATGACCAGGACGCAATGTTGCTTTGACCACTCAACTTCCAGTGCACACACCTTTAACAGAACTGGTTGTGAGCTCATGTGTTCCAGTCAGAGTTTAAACCTAAATAACTTAATCCAACAATCCTACATACGGCCTAAAGATTCAGGCAGTCGTCCACAGCTTCTGACATGTACTGAAATATCTGACTTATGTGCAGATACAAGATTCACCATCCAACAATTCAGATTTACCAGCTGATGCTTTCCTCAGTTTATTCTAAAAATCACAGAGACAATTTGGTTTCTAAGAAAACAGAGAACTACTCTAAAGATCAGTTTTGTCTCTGCCCTCATGGCTGCCTCATAAGTTAGCTTTACTTCATTGGTGCAATAAGTATAGCTAAATTCACATGACCACTGTGATCCTCAGTCAGTTGGTGCAATAACAGGACTTAGAAATTTACAAATATTTTCTATGCTTAATGAAATGTTTTGTGGTCTGCCAGATGAAATGTTTCTATGCATGCTTCAAGATCTGTGTAGCTGTATTCAAGCATCTATGTAAGACTCACAGCAATAATGGCTGCTAGAATGTTTATTACTTTTAATGGTACAAAAATAACGCTGAAAAATCCACTACCTTCAACAGTGAACCCATAACTTCACTCCATACACTCACCCTGCTTATGTATCTGTAACAGACAAATACTGAGCAGCTCTAAAGAGTCATAAACTGATGCTGACAATAACAGTTCCCTCGATTGTTGTATATTCTCTAAAACTGATGGCTGAAAACTACGGACCAAATTAATCCCTCATGTAACTCCACTGAGTTCTGAGGAGTTATAGCAAGGATGAAGCTGGTCTAGCATGTACAATCTCGGGAACTGCTTGCACATTAAGTAATGGCAATTGTTGAAACTGCTAGCACTCCTTAGAGAAAATCACTGTTGGTTTCTTGGTTTCATTAACCTCTTTGATTTTTTTTTTTCTTGGGGGGTTCAAAATGGTTATGGGCAAATGTCAGCGAGTGAAAACTTCCCTGTGGAGGTCTTTCTGCTCTGAAATGTTTAGCTCATGGAGGACTACACACAAAGCTTCCTAGGCAGAAAACATGGGATTTTTTCACATCAGTCCCAAGGGGGAGCATAGTAAATAAAATCTATTCAAGCCAACTGCCTCCACTCTGCCTCCACTGCTCTCCTGTCCCAAAGGGCTGGATGCTCTGCTTGGGTGAGACACACTGGAGAAAGTAGCCAGCTCATTTTCCAAGTGAAGGACAGTATTGAAAGCTTTTGGTTCCTCTCTCCAGGGAGCAGCCTGCAGGCAGAGCTTGCTGACAGTTCTCCGAGGAGACTGAGTGAACCTTTCAAGGTGAAAGGTTATGTAAGGAATTCTTTACAAGGCCCACTGAACCTTGCCATACCTGTCCTCTAACATGCACAACATTCTACCTTTAATAACATGACCTCCATCACATTCTCAGAGAAAATAAGAGACAGCGAACAAACTCCTGCCACATCTTTGCGTGAAAAGTGAACATCAAATACAAACAAGACAATAAAAAATATACAGGGGGAACTAAAACATTGACATGTTCTAGAATGCAAGTGTTATATTTACTGCCCAGCAGGGGCTAAGCTCTGCTTTCTGTACACAGCTGTAAGCACAGCCATTTTGCACACCTGCCAAAGCCAGTTTTTAGATAGGACAGCTCCTCATCACCTTTGCTTTCTGCAGTGCACAACCCATGCCCCAGGCTGGTATTAGTCCCATAATAAAGGCTCCTCCTGCCCTCCTGTCCCCCAAAAGCAGAAAACATGATGGAGAAACCCTGAGACTAACATCATCTTTTCCATTTCTTTCCCAATACTGAAGAGCAGAGATTTAACTGCAGATTAGTAATACTACTAAATGGAGCAGGTAAGCACATGCATTATATCAAGCTGTATGTAAACTGAGAGAAAACGTATTATGTAGTATAGCCTCACTTTCTAAGACTTTCCATCAAAAAAATACCATGACAAATTACTGCTATACACTTAGGTGTTTATAGAGCAACCACAAATATGTGACTGAGGTTAAGAGTTTGCATACCACAGTTTCAGTAGAGGAGTCCATTTTTCAGCTGCTTTTCATTAATTTATTTTAATTAATTTTCATGGAAATCCCTTCAGCAACTTAGTATTTTAATAAAAAGAAAGAACGCAGTATTGGGGCAATTTTTGCAGCAGCAGAAATTAACATAACATAATCCAATTTCTTGAACTACTTTGAGGAGTGGCTTTGTAGCATCATTACGAGCTGCACTCCAAGCCTTACAATGTAAGGCACCAGGAAGGGAGGAGGGGATGGGATGTACCTGCAGCAGCTCACCTCTACCACACAGGCTGCCAGGAGCCAGAGCAGTGCACTGGGAGCTGTGGCAATTCCTGTGAAGGACAGCATCCAGAGTTGTGTGCTGGACACAGGGTGTGCTTGGCCACTGGACAAGGCCAGCAATTAGAGCTAAGACCCCTCTGTGTTCTCAGCCTCTGCTGTGACCCAGATCCAGCCCAGTTCACCAGCTACCAAGGGGCTTATGCTCATTGTGCTGGCATTGGGAAGATTAGGAAGCTCATCCCTTTGGTCATGACAGCAAAATCCAGTCCTTCGGGGCTTTTTTTCAGTCACCATGCTGAGTGGAACTGGGGGAATTCCCTTTTAAAGCAAGACCCTGAAACGCAAGAGCTACATCTGGGCCAGACAAATCTCTGTGGATTGGCAATGTGGAAGTCCCAGTTTTAACTCTGGATGAGGAATGGACATTTCTGCTCAGACTTCTGATTCAGCTGCATGTGCCAAATTTCTTATGATGTAATCAAGTGCAACTCCACTGCTATCAGCTGTCAACAGACTTCCTCCCATCATGCCAGCACCAAAATTGGCCCCAGAGCCAGGGAGCCCTCCAGCCTGTATCAACAGCAACTACAGCAGCTATTTTAAGCTGGATGGAATTCTTACTGTTTTAGATGCTCTAGGATTACGAGGTCATAAACCTATGCTATCAAATCCAGGCGTGTGCTCAGAGCCAGAGCCTGCCCTGTGATGTGTGCATCCAATTGCCATTGGAGCTGCACATCTGAGAGTGCAGCACTGCCCATACGGTTCAAATTGCCTTAATTCCTCCAGTACATGCAGCCTGTTGCTCCACATTGTATTTATTAGACAGTTTCATTTGGGTTTTTTACTCATTTATTTTGTGTGCTTGAAGGCTTTTTGCTGCCCTATTTAGTATTCAGGGCTTAGAGTTATTCTGATTTGAATAAAACACATCTCATTATTTAACAGAGCTCAGCAATGCCACATCACCCAGTGCACTCTCTGTGGTTTAGATGTATTTTATATCCATCAGAAGAATCATGAAACAAATACAGCAACATGCAGAGTAAAACAGCCTCTCCTCTGAGTGCTGCAGCCATGTCTTCCCCACGTAACTGATTCTGTACTTACAAAATTAAAATTACTGAAGTGCTATGACAGGAATGGATGAATCCTGAAATCGTGCAATTAACTAGAATCAAACCATCATTTCGGAGGAGCACAGTGCCACACTGCTTCTAACCTCAGTCTTTCAAATCCAGGAGGTTTAGGTAGATGCACATACACCTAGATACATATATACATGCATAACACTTCTGCAGGTCTTCAACTGCCTCTCTTTCTCTAGCATAAGGGTTTTCCTTTCAAATTCCTCAGCATTTTTAAGGTTTCACGTACATTGGTTTGGGGGTTTTTCTGGTTTGGTTTGGTTTTTTTTGGTTTTTTTTTTTGGTGGAAGCTGAGATTTGTTGACACTCACATGACTCCAAGAGTTTAAGCTTTCTATAAGAAAGTCAAAATCTCCCTGATATTTTAAA